AAAAAAAAAAAAAAAAAACGAAGATAAATTGTAGGTTTACACCAAATTGGTTTTCTTTATGCATCTGAAAATTTATTTAGTGAGAAAAAAACTATGTTATTTTGCTTAAAAAACATTAAAAAACAAGGAATTTTTGTAAACTGAATTAGAAAGTACAAGTCACTGTGGACTTCTTATTCAGCTGCGATTACTTAAAATATTCCATGAGCGCTGCTTGACAAAATTAATTGGCTAACAAATTGACCCCATCTACTTTTGCATTGCTCAGTTCGGCTATATCAGTAATCAAAATGCTATTCAAATGTTACCTGTTAAGTAAAAAATTTGTTCTTTTTATCTGATAACAACAGACCTTTAGCAGCAAAATAGAGTGATAAATTTTTTTCAGTTAAATCGTTTAGTTCAAACAATTTTTCTTGTCTTGCGTGACCGGCACCAACACCATCACTGCTATCATAGTAGGTTGAATCTGTTCCAAGCACTGTTTCATCGTCGAATTTGTTCTGCAAAAAAAGGTTACCTGTTTACGGCAATAATTAAGCCCAAAATTTAGCAGCAGTTTGACTGCCAATGAAAGAACAATTTTATAGTTTATCGCATTTAACAAATATATTAACACCAATCTAATTAAGAGACAATAAGTCTGAAACAAAACTGCTCTATTAAACCGGTACAAAAAATTCTGTAATAGAAAATATTGAAAACATAACCCAATTTAACTTTATTTATTTATTTTTTTTTATTTGTTAATTTGTCGAATAAGTATCAGCGTCGGCAAAAAAGAGCTTTAGTTACGAAACACACCCACTGATCTTCAAGCAGTATTAGCGTCGGCAAGGCGTAACCTTGCCTAAAGATAAGTGGATTTCTTTCTCCACTTTGACATTAAATTCGCTGCTAAACTCTAAAATCTTGGTGCTTCTGGTTCATCCTGCAAACTGAGACAGTAATGGTCAGTTTGGGACAGTGCTTAGCGTAACTTAGCTGAAGACTTCCAGGGAAGTGAAATACATCGGTTATTCCTTCTACTAACTGATAAAAAAATCTTTTTTGCATTTAGGCTTCCTGACTGAAATTTGCATCACAGATAAACTATCACTTAATCAAACGGAATCTTAGCTACTAAGATCTTTGATCAACGTTTTCTTGTTTTTTTTTTTTGATCACTTAACTGGTACTTAACTGATAACATTCGTCTTTATTCGTTATTTTGAAAGAAAAAACACTTGTCTTACTGATAGTGTCAAACTGAACAGTAAGCAAACAAAAAAAAGAACATGTC